TGATAAATTTTCCTAAAATCGAAGCAAACCTTAAGAGCGGTAACTTAAATGCTATTAAAGCGTTGCATTTTATTGCTTTTGGCAATCGGGGTGAACCGCGTAAGCAGAGGAAAGCTCTTCGCGATTTTCAGGGGTATAATGTGGAACCAGATTCTCCTGAGTTCGAACGGATCGTGCACGACGCTAAAGAAAATGTTGAGTTACCTGATTTGATCTCCGTTTGTAATATTTTAGATTTAAATTATTCGGGTACAGTAGATGAAATTATTACACGGGTTTGTGATTTTATGAATGATCTCAATATCGACAAATACGACCAGGGAGATACAGACGAAGAGGAGAATGAAGTTGATGAAACAGTAACGACGCGAAAGGACACAGGACAAAGAAATACTGTAGGAGGTAATATAAGACCCAGAGGAGTTAGAGATGAAGAAATTCTTGAAAATTTAGAAAGAAATAGTACGGAATCAAGAAGAAATGTAGGTGACTTCTTTCCTATTAGTTTTAGAGACGTTGAAGACACCATAAAATATTTTGATGGTAAAGAGGAGTACCCTATAGAAAAGTGGATAGAAGATTTTGAAGAAACAGCTGATTTGACGGGATGGAACGACCTTCAAAAATTAATCTTCGCGAAAAAATCATTACGTGGCATGGCTAAATTGTTCATTCAATCGGAAAAGGGAATAAGATCATGGACTATGCTGAAAAGGGCGTTAATAAAGGAGTTTGAGATTAAGACGAGTAGTGCTCAGGTGCACAAGCTGTTAATGCAAAAGAAAAAAGGGCGAGAAGAGTCTGTCCAGGAGTATGTGTTAGCAATGCGAGAAATCGGAAGTAGAGCAAACTTGGAGGCGGAAGTTATAATACAGTATATTATAGATGGTATTCCAGACGACGCAGCGAACAAAATTATTTTGTACGGAACTACAAACTTCGCGGAGTTCAAAGAGAAAATCAAGCTGTACAATCAGATTAAAACAGCAGGAGGATACGCTAGTCAAGGAGCAAAGCCAAAAAGGGAATGGAAATATGAAGACTATCGGAATAAAAAAACTGAGAAGCCTAAAATAGAAAATAATAGAAGTGTCGTCTGCTACAACTGCGGAAAGAAAGGACACAAATCTCGGGAGTGTCCAGAGAAGGGTAAGGGGATAAAATGCTTTAACTGCAACGACTTTGGACATTTGTCAGCCAGATGTCCTAAACGCGCAAGTAAGTCGGATTCCGTAAATGTTATTGAATCAATTCCTAAAAATAGTGTGAGACTCGTTATTGATGGGGTTGAGACAATCGCACTATTTGACACAGGAAGTGACATAAGCGCATTGCGGGAAGATGTTTATAATCAATATTTTTCGAAAATATCGTTAGACCAAGAAAGAATACCTCTTAAGGGTCTAGGCAATAATACGGTACGAACTATAGGCTCATTCACTCACGAGGGTATAATAAATAATGAAAATTGTCTTCTTAAATTATATATTGTCCCAACGCAGGCTTCAAATTTCAGGGCGATAATTGGTAGTGATATATTGACCCAGCTAGACGTAATTATAAATACGGACGGAGTCACGGTATTGAAAAAAGAAACTAGCAATTTTTTAATGGCGATCTCTTTAGATAACGATCGGGAAGATTTGGAGTTAGATCTCACACACATAGAGGAGGAGGAGAAACGAAAAACTATTAGAAAATTAGTACTAGGCTATCAGCCTAAAAAAATCAGGGACGTAAACATCGAGATGAACATTGTCCTAAAAAACGAGGAACCTATTTACCAAAGACCAAGGAGATTGGCACCACCGGAAAAGAAAATAGTTCGGGAGCAAGTCGAAGAATGGTTGGAACAGGGCATTATCCGCCCAAGTTCGTCGGATTTTTCCAGTCCTATCGTATTGGTGAAAAAAAGGGATGGACGGACTCGAATTTGTTGCGACTATAGAAAACTAAACCGAAATGTTATAAAAGATCGTTTCCCATTACCCATAATAGAAGACGTCCTCGATTGTTTACAGGGAGCGAAGATATTCAGCACCATAGATTTGAAGAATGGATTTTTCCATGTCCCTGTGGGAAAAAAACAGTATTAAATATACATCCTTCGTAACCCCAGATGGACAATACGAATTTCTCAAATGTCCGTTCGGATTATGTAATAGTCCAGCCGTTTTCCAGAGATATATTGCCCATATTCTCCGACCTCTGACGACAAAGAATATCGTAATATTTTATATGGACGATATTATAATCCCAAGCAGTAATGAAGAGGAAGGACTCGAAAGACTCCAAATAGTGCTTGAGTTAGCAAAAGATTATGGATTAGAAATTAAGATTAAGAAGTGTCAGTTTCTAAAGAAAAGAGTGAATTTTTTAGGATTCATAGTAGAAGACGGAAGCATACAACCCTCGGAGGAAAAAAGTTCAGCTATCAGGAGATATCCTGAACCAAAAACGTTGAAACAAATCCAGTCGTTCCTGGGATTAACAGGATACTTTAGAAAATTCATATCTTCTTACGCATTGATAGCTAAGCCATTAAGTGACCTATTAAGGAAGGATCAGCCATTTATTTTTGACGAACCGCAGAAAGTTTCGTTCGGCAGGTTAAAGGAATTACTCTGTAGCGAACCGGTGTTACACATTTATCAACCAGGACTTGATTTAGAACTACATACCGACGCTAGCCGATATGGTTACGGTGCTTGTCTATTGCAACGAGCAAACACGGACCACCGTTTACATCCGATTTTTTATATGAGCAAGAAGACCACACCAGCCGAGGAAAAGTATTCCAGCTACGAGTTAGAAGTTCTTGCGATTATTCAAGCTATCAAGAAGTTTAGAATTTACCTGCTGGGCGCTAAATTCAAGATTGTTACGGATTGCCTTGCATTTCAAAAGACGATGGATAAAAGGGATTTAACTACTAGAGTGGCTAGATGGGCGTTACTTTTGGAAGAATATTCATACGAAATAGAGCATCGAAAAGGATGTCGAATGCCACACGTGGATGCCCTTAGTAGAAACCCAACGACGATGTTAATGCAAGAAACTCTTGTGGATGATGCGTTAGTTAAAAGGATCCGAAACGCGCAAAGAGGTGATGGACACTTAAACATAATCACCAAAATTCTAGAATTAGATCAAAACTACGACGATTATTTTTTAAAAAACGATATCTTGTACAGATACAAAGAGGGAAAGGAATTTAACGAAGCCAGAGAGAAGATCCGAGAAGGTGCCAGGACACAAATTAGTAAGGTACAAAGAGAGAACACCAGAACTTATAACCTTAGAAGGAAAAAAGCAAGGAAGTATTGCGCTGGAGACTTGGTGGCCATCAAACGTACACAATTGAGTCCCGGCCTTAAAATTGACAAAAAGTTTTTGGGACCTTACGAAATAGTGAACGCTAAAGCTAATGAGCGTTATGATGTCGCTAAAGTGGGGACATTCGATGGTCCAATTAAAACCTCTACATGCGCAGAGTTCATGAAGCCGTGGATTGATAACCACTCGGAATCCGAGGCGGATTCTGATCAGGACGGCCGAGTGTAGGAATTAGTTACTTTAGTCTTAAGTTAGAACTTATCGTTACGCCACTGTTCGAGCGCTGGGAAACGGGTGTTCAGGCAAATGGTAGGAACTCGACGACGAGACAGCGACGTGATAAGACGTAGCAGAGAGAGCGGTTACAAAAGTACGGTATGTGCATGTGCGGCATACAAAGTGACGAAATAAACGACGGTATGTGATATAACATACATTGACGACGGTATGTGCGAAATCAGAGATCATACAAACGACGCTATCGAGTAATAAACGACGTTAATAGTACGACGATAGACACGAGACATTTGCGAATAAGAGTGATATTGCTATTGTGCACGAACATTATTACCTAGACGAACAGTTGTAGTGACGATAATAAATACTTTTAGTAAGCAAAGCTTTATTTTACACCCTAGACAACACAACAAAGCCTACATATATATATATATATATATATATATTATATATATAATATATATATATATATATATATATATATATATATATATATATATATATATATATATTTTTATATATATAATATACATAATATATATAATATATATATATATATATTATATATATATATATATATATATATATATGTATATATATATATATATATATGTTATATATAGTAAACTCTTAAATATTGGGGAAATCTGCAAGAAAAATTCTAATGAGTATCAATTGATTCGCCGAACGTTTTCGGGAAAACGTTATTATTTGTCTTACCGTAAATTTAGAAATGTCGAGTTAGGATGTTAAAAAACTTTGCTAGTAACAACATAGTGGTGTTTTTTGTTACTATGTGCAAAAAAGTTTTTTTTTTAACGTTGGAAATGTATGGTAGCGTTGAACTTAAAAACGCAAAGGTTTACCCAAGGTTAATCGAAAAACCCAATGAAACTACACTAATGTAGCTACATTGGGTTTTTTCGATTAACCTTGGGTAAACCTTTGCGTTTTAAGTTCAAAGCTACCATACATTTCACACGTTTAAAAAAAACTTTTTTTGCACATAGTAACACAAAACACCACTATGATGTTACTAGCAAAGTTTTTTAGCAAAGTTTTTTAAAATCCTAACTCGACTTTTTTAAAGTTTACAGTAAGATAAATAATGTTTTTTAATAGATAATATATGGTAACTAGTTACAATTTATTCTCTTTCAGCGCTGAAGAAGTCAATTAATTCTCTTTGGCGAAAAACGTTCGGCGAAACAATTGATACTAATTAGAGTTTTTCTTGCAGATTTCCCCAATGTTTAAGAGTTTACTATTTAACTTATCTGCAAAGATTAAATTTCTTTTATATATATATATATATATATATATATAATATATATATATATATATATAGGTTTGTATATGTATATGTGAACACTAAAAGGAAATAAAGATATAGCTACTAATATGATAAAAGTTACAATAGAACATTTACTTAAAATGTGTTTATTTTATGGTAAAATCGAATAGAACAATAAATACATTTTTAATAATCACCACACTTTTCCAAGTCCAATAGGAACGCCAACACTTGGAATACCAATAGCTGGAACACCAATAGGACTAGCTATTCTCACAGCTCCTAAACCAATTGGAGAAGCGAGTCGTAGTGGACCACCTAATCCTAGAGGAGAAATTCCTAATGGGGATCCAATTGACACAGCTGCTGGAACAGGAGACACGATTCCAACTTTAGCTATTGGGCCAATAGGTGCTGATAAAATAGTTGGACCGGCTAATAAACCACCTTCGGCACAAGATACGGCCAAAATGGCGACAGCGACACAAATAAAATACTTCATTTTAACTCTACGACTTTAGCTGTTGCAGATGGGAAACTACAATGCTGTTTCATGACGAGAAATCGCTTTTATCTATACCTTCATCCCACCTGAAGATGATTTTTTCAAAATATTGGCTGGTGCAATACTTGGGTCAGAATACATGACATATTAAATGAGTAGCAATGATACAAACTGATGTAATATGTTACATAGTGGCGTTAGCTGTTAAGTGGACTTGATTTTATAGAAAATTATTACTAATAATAAATAAAGGTGCATCCAACTATATCGAAAATAAACAAGTCTTATAAAGGAACTCCAACATTTTTTGTACAGATACTCCTTCATAATTCAATGCTATATACCGATTAAACTCCGTTTTAATATTTTATAAATATTTTAAAATTAATAATAAATACACAGCTGCAGAAAAAACTAGACAATTATTTTTTATGATTACCTTTAATTCTTAGACACAATGTAATACTTTTTTAAAAAATGTTGCAAGAATGATAACAATAATATACTAGTAAACATAAATAAAATAATTAAAGACCTTAGAGCAACAACGGAACATGCCACGAAAGTAAGTTTTATTGAAAATCAACTAAAATGGTTTTAATCAAATCTTACAATCCTAAATACCAAATATAATTAGAAAGTCAGTAAATGGTGTTATCTGAAAACTGTATATCTACTATCCTTGAAAAGCTAAGCTTAAATCGTTTTTGTAGGAAAAACAGCAATAAAATTTCGAAACAGTGTGGCTTGCACCTTTATTACAAAAATAAATTATAAATATAACGTGTTGTAAAATATGTATTATAATATAATATTAAAAGTTATACATAGTAGTAAACGAGAAAACCCGATAAATTGAAATTCTTTACTTAGAATTGTTTTAAAGTCAGCTATGTGTTCATTCTCCATAGTCATATTATTTACAATCTACATCATTATCTGTTCCTATATTTTGAACAACACCAATCTCTCTATATTAATTCTGGTAAATACACTAGTGGCCAAAATTCTTGAAACTTTTCAAAAATTTTAGTTTTTTTATCAGCATTCCTCTTTTTAGTCCAAAAGACTTATGTTATTTATAAGTTTATCTATTATTTTATTACATCGTTTTATGCTTCTACTTAATATTTAACATCTATTTATTATTATAAGGGGAAAAGTTCTTTAAAAATTTAAAAATAAATAAAACAACAGCCGTTAGCTATTAGTAGATATATTAAAAAAAATGATACAATGATTATTATCAACAAAATTAGTATTTGGTAGGATAACCTTTGTTTTTTAAGACTTATTTCTGCGAGGCATAGAATTGACAAGACGAGCCAAATCTTCTGGTATAATAACTCTAAACCAGTTTTAAATAATGGCTTCTATCAGTTCTCTCTTGTTTCTTGGGTTTCGGCGTGATACTAAGACTTTCAGCCTTGACCATACATTTTTTATTGGATTTAGACCGGCACTATTTTCAGGCCAAGGCGGAACAGTAACATCATGGTTTCTTAATCATTCCAAAGAAATCTTAGCAGTATGACAAGGCGCTCCATCCTGCTGGAAGATGCATTGTTGAGCACCCCCTTCGAAAAATTATCTGATGGTCTGCAGCAGTTTGGCTTGCAGTATCTCTTCCTGATATTTTTTTTTGCATTAATATTGCCCTCTATTACCGCTAAACATCCAACTCCATTAGTAGCCATGCAAGCTCATACCATGACATTCACAGGATGCTTTATAGTGATCGTAGTTCACTGGGGCAAAAGGTCTTCTCCCGGTCGGCGGCGAACAAACGTCACTCCGTCACTCCCAAACATCGAGATTTTGGTTGCAGCACTCTAAATTACTTTACTCCATTGTTCTTCTGTCCACTCTCTGTATGCCAAATCCCAATCAATGCGGTTTTGCTTATGTTTTTTGTTCAGGAACGGCTTCTTTCTAGGAATTCGTGCTCGCACTCCATTTTCACACAACTTCCTTCTGATAGTGCGGTCCGATATTTGTACACCTGATTTTGTGGCGCCACCAACCGATTTGTTTGCTATTTCTTGATAAGTGTAACCTTCTTCTCAAAGGATAATTGCTTTGGCTCTTTTTCCTGGCGACCAGTCCACACGTTTTGGGTTTCTAGTTGCCATTTTCGTTGACGATAACTTTTGTAAAGTTTCCAGAATTTTGGCCACTAGTGTAGATGGTGTATACCGAAGAAGCATCCAAAGATTAGAAATATTTTTTGGATTTAATCAAATGGGTGCATCATATTTAATTTTTAAAGTTCTTACACTCAGGTTAACTACAATTCTTACACCTCTACCAATATTAATAGATTTAAATTCTAAAATATACCTATCATGAAGATGTTTTAAATTCTTAAACCATAAAGATGTTTACGAAACACATCATTCGAATTCTCGTGAATAAATTTTAATGTACAGACTTTACTGAAATTAAGCTTTTTTTTATTTTCTGTCCTTGAACGACAAAGTATTTTGTTGCTGTGAACAATGACATTGAAAAAAGTTTTCTTTTTCATTTTAAGACTGATTGATTCCAATCAGCAGGCGTATACAGTTGATTCAAATAACGACGTTTATGCTTTTCAATAATTGCGAAGTCACGATCAGAAAGAAGATGTGTGTGTCCCACTACTAGAAATCTATGTTCTCTTGTATCAAAGACACTTTCTTTAACTAGTTTTTGCCACAAACATACAATGGTTCTTTTTTTTATTTTGTCCAGCGCAATTTTCGCTATATATATCAAGCTTGAGGTCCTCAAGTTGAGGTCCTCAGACAGATGACAAAGGAAATGGTAAAAAATGAATACGATTAAGATAAGAAAGTTACAATTACTCGGCCACGATATGAGAGGAGATAAATATGTGTTGCTACAAACCATAATGCAGGGAAAAATACAGGGAAAACGAAGTATTAGAAGAAAACGCATCTCCTGGCTCAACAATCTAAGAAAGTGGTATAATTGCAGTTCCATCGACTTGTTCAGAGCTGCAATCTCAAAAGTAAAAATAGCTGTGATGATTACCAATTTTCTTAGAGGGGACGGTATCTAAAGAAGAAGAAAGCTTCCTATGCTCACAGGCATTTTCCTTCAAATGCTTATATAATATAGTAGCAATCTCGTCACTTCCACCAAGTATTCGGACTACATATACATATATCTCATATCTTCAACGCCATCATGTTTTCCTAAGTTATAACTTCAGATTTTTTGTAAATAAAAAGCAGGATCAACTGTAAACAAAGGTAAAAGTAAAGCTTACTGTAAATTAAAACTGATGACAAGGATGTCTTTTGTTTTCTTAGCATTTTGTTTTCGTAGCATTTTCTACTTTATCTTTCAGGATGTTTTGAAATTCTTCGGCCCTACGATAGTGTAGCTTAAATTAATGCTTTAAGCTGTCTGCTCATGCTTCTGTACTGACAACATTTCTAATTTGAATATTTAGAAAGTCACATATTTTGTGACTTTCTATGTGTCCGCAAAAAAAAAGTTTCTGTATAGCTTTCTTTTACTGGATTGACATTTCTATTTCTACACCATTCCAGGTAATAATCGCGATAAAGAGCAGAAATTGATAAATTATTATCTATGTAGGTACACTTTGTTTGGATTTTTTGTCTCAAATAGTGTCTAATCTATTTTGGGATGGACTTAATACTCGTTTTTACGTTTTCACGATCTCAGTAATTAATTGTATTTGCTCTGTTCTGGTGTTTGGCACGTTTTTCTGCTTTAGGAGTACTAGCATATTTCATTATTTCTTCGCATGAATTATTTTTTTGATTTGAGTAATCCATAAACTGCAAGAAACTCTTGTTTGCAAATAAACTGTATTGAAACATTTCGCGACGATATATGTCTTTTAGTTTTTTTGGAGTAGGTTCTTTTTTTTAACAGTTTGGATTGGTGAAAGAAGGAAAATATTTTGTATATATAAGTTTATATTATGTAAGTTATTAGGGTTTCTACGATCTCCTTTCTTAAAAAACTTTAACAATATTCGTTTTCTACGTTTGTCTGGCATTTTATTTTGTTTTTAGTGAATTTGTAATGAACTAGTCGTTTAATTTATTTATTAAGCATGTTTATCGCAAATTTAAGCTGTTCAGTAACCATTTTATCTTAAGTTGGTAATTTTTGGTTTTTAAGTTTTCCCAGCGATTCTTCAGAGTTTTGTTCTGTAATATAAGTCCTTTTATCTGTTGTAATATTTCGTGTATTTGACAAAGTATTTTTCTGTTTTTTTTTCAAGACATTTTTAGAGTAGCGACTAGAGATGTCACTTGTCTTTTTTGTCTGACTATAATCTTTTTGTGAATATTTTTTTTTTTTTTTGGTATTCGTACTAATTAGTGCGAATGTCCCTATCTTTCTTGTTTCTGTTAAATTCTTCGTACGATTCTGCGATTTTCAATACTTTTTAAAAAATTTTTTGGGTTGCTTGATCCATTTAGCCACGATAGATAAAATAAATATTAACTGTTTGCTCCAATATTAAATAGATAAGCATATTATAAATTGTTTTCTTCTCGCGGCATTTTTCTTTAACGTCTTTCGTGAACCATGACATCTTTGTTTGTAGCTTAACATGTCTGTTTATTATTTTAGTTCCTAATATTTCGTTTATTGCTTCTTTTTGCTTTAACTTCATCATGTTTTTCTACACCATTTATATCTTCTATGGAATTCAAGCTAATTTTTTCTAGTATTTTTGGTAGGTGTAATAATTTTGAAAATTCCCCTACAAATTCTCTATTTGTAGTTTAGTTTCTGACTTTTAACAATGTCGGATAAAGTATTTTTCCAAACAATTTAACTAAAAATTTCTTAAAAAATTGTAGAAATTATAAAGAATACTCACATCCAAAAATATAAACATATCCTTGTTATATGGATATCCTATTTACATACCTAGTTATTTTTAAAAATATGCATCCTTCTAAGTAAAAGTTAAAAAAGCAAAGTATGACTACGATCGATATGTATATTGCGTCATCATCTGTACCTTAATTCAGAAAATAATGC